CCTAACCTCCATTTTTAACAAAATACTGACTATCATTTTCAGGATTTTTTGTATTCCAAAGAAAGAGGCTAATAGGTGTCAGAGTAAGATCACAAACAACGAGAGAGCTCAAGGTTATCAAGTCCATGCAAATAGAGTTGTGATTTGTGACATCAGTTTACATGCTACACTCTTGTCGTTATACAAATAACCATATCATGAATTCACAAATAAAGACACTGATTGATACAAATTACATTCTTACTCTGTCATCTTCAAAGGCTCGTTTACGTAGGTGGCCAGGATGGGCAGGAGATCATATATGCCACTGACTAGAAAAGCACCTAGAAGACAAAAAAAAAAAAAAAATCATATATTATCTTTGCATCGTCATCTTTGTCTAGATCTTGTATTTCTGATTTATGTTTTTTAGTCATGAGGGGCCAATGTCTGCCGTGTCTGTCACCTGTGCTGCTTCACTTTACCCTTACCTTTGATCGGAGGAGTGATGCTGTACTCGGACCAATCAGTTGAGAGGACCATGGCCGCCAGGTGAGCTCCAGCAGAGTGACCGCACAGGTACAGCCCACTGAGGAGAGATGAGTGACAGCTCATTCAAAACACACAGAGCATTTGTGATGATGAGAAGGATGAACTGGACGAGGTCAGAAAACAAGCCTAGGCACCTGATGTGAGAATACTGCTGAACAACAGACACGACACTCCTGCGGACTTGAGACACCATGAGGTCCATGTTTCCTGAAAAAGAAGGGAGACAGGCAGGAGCCAACATTCCCAGGTCAACTCCAAAAACATTTTTCCCGAAACGACATTTTGAGACATGTGAAAACCTGCACCTTTAGGGGCAATGTCATAGCCAACTGCAACCACCACTACGCCTTTGTCAACGAGTGGAACAGCCATGAATCCTGACTCCTCCTTGCTGTGTGAGCCAAAAACATCAACATTTAAAAACTTAAACAAAAAGATATTTGCACTGCAGTCTAAACATGTACCTGAGAAACTGCCAGTAGCCTCCATGTATGTAGATAACAAGCGGGACATCTGAAACAGAGGGAATCAGTCCTGTTAGTCATCATGGATTCTGTATGTTTGAAGCCTGACAATGGGGGTGAGACTGGTTGTCATGGCAGTCACACATGTCCGTACCCAAAGAGTTTGTGCTGGGTATGTAGACATCCAGTTTCTCTCCATCTCCCTCTCCATACGGCACATTGAGCAAAGTCTGAGCCAGACCACGGGCCTGCTCCGTACCTGAACAGAAACAAGGGGAAGCTGTGTTAATATAAAAACAGGGGGGGGGGGGGGAGTACTGAATTCATTTAGCTTTACATTATTCTTGTCATATTTCTGAGTTTAGTAGCTCACTGTTAGCAAGCTTTTGGCATGAATGTGATTTAGTTTCTTGATATGTTAGGTATTAAATTAACTGCCTCAGACAAATTAAGGCATTTCTATTCAGTTGTTTAATTCATAAACTGTGTCTAATGGGGGCCACATAAAAACCCTCGGGTTTGAGGCCCCTGATCAGGAACACAACATCCCCTGTTCAAATCCGGCTGGGGAATTCTGTTGCATGACATTCCCCATCTCTTGTCCCCCAACACTTCCTGTTATTCCACTGTTGTCAGCTCTCTAATTAAGACATTAAATAAAGAGGGAGGGGTAACATGCTTTAGAGACCCTCATTTTCCAATCATCACCTTCAAAAAAAACATCATGCTCACCAAATGTAACAAAGAGCAAAAATATTTAGCATGTGTTTATTTATGTGTGATAAAAAAAAAATGCTTACATCCATCATAGATATAAAACCGTCTAGAAATTGCCACAAATTAAATTTAAAAATTTTTTTACAGTACGTTACTACTGTAGCCATAAACATAAAGACAGATTTTGTTTCAAACGGTGTTAAATGTAAGAGTAATCTGTCAAAGCATTTTTTTAGTATGCCAGTCAAAATATCTTCAAAAACAAGCTCGGGTTAAAATGATTCACATGGAGCCAGACTTTCAAAGTGATACAACACTTGGCATTACACCTGTGTTCGGCCTGCCTATTCGCCACAACAGGATTCCTGTGTATTGTTGCGTATTATAGCGTGTAGCTTCAAAACAGACCGACCTTCCTTTAAAGCCTTCACATGAGCCTTGATCACGTCGTCTGCAGACATCCTGTGCGACCACCGGCTGGGGGAATACTGCCTGTCGAGCTCCTGTCACACGGGGAGACCACAGTCAAGCAGGGCGGCCATGAAACCCGAGCACCACAACATCATGAGCCCGGTGGGAGACAACAGCGCCCTCCTCTGGTATTATGAGACCTCTGCTCCATGCATGTGAGTAAAAGGCGTCATTCTTTTAGAAAACTTCCTTGTTTGTTGTACAAACAGGAACAATTAAATATGTTGTATTCAACTGTATATACACAGGTGGGGAAATAAGCTGAATGTAATTTAGCCTAGCCAACATATGATGGCAAATATTATGCTTTATAATAAAGCCTAGCTGGGCTACCAAACAAAAACATCCTGCTAACGCAACAAACAAAAACAAAAACAAAACAAACAAAAAAAAAGGTCAATCACTTACATCTTTTTCCATTTCAGTCCAGTGCGACATTTTCTCTCTTGAAGTGACTGAACTGACCGCAGGTTTCCTGACAGATAAATCTGTGCAACATGTGTATACAGCAGCTGTCCGACTGCAGGACTGAACTTCAGACTCGTCACCTGTTGGCCTGCATACAATTTCAAAGTAAAAGCTTAAATTCAAAGGAAAGCTTTCTGAAGCTTTGTGGTGTTGGGACCATGCGGAGAGAGAAAATGTAACCGGAATATAATGTAACTTCACCTGTTCACGTTACTGAATGAACAATGTGAACATGTTGTGTGACTGTCTCCTCCTTCTTTTTGAGTGAAGGAGTTGGCAAACCAAAATAAAAAACACGGGAAGCTACAGCTGCCTTTGTAGGAAATGAGAGTCACGGAGTTTTTTTTTTTGGCGTTCTGAAATGAAACTCTTAAATTATAGGTTTTGCATTTGTTTGAGGTGCAATGCTAAAGGATATGATGAGCTTTGCGTTCTTTTTAAACAGGGGAATAGTTAAAAATCACAATAGTGTGCATTTCACAGATAAAGCATAATACTAATTGACAGGGATTTTAAACTTTCGTTACCTGATCAAGAAGTACTGTTATAAGATTGGACTCATACTGTATGGTGCATTTATGTCTTGTAGAAAACCAACACCCCTTACACAATAGGCTTATTCAATAAAAACAATATACATTTCACAGGGATAACATAGTTTGAGCAGCATCAGTGTCCTCTGTAACCTTCACTATACTGCCTCACTGCCAGGGCTTCATGGGACACTTTAATAGAGCAGAACCAGGATCATAATGATGTTAAAAGTAACATCTGTACTTTCAAAAGTTAAAATGTTGGTTTTAACTTCAATTGGTCTGACTCTGTTAACATGTTTGCCGATGTGTTTATTTTTTATTTCTGTGTGGTTTTTTTGCAGTCTTTTCCCCCACTATGGCAGACAAACATAGATTTCCTCTTTGTGAAATTTCTCCTAGCAAATTGGCAAATAATAAATAAATAATAAAAACACAGAAAAAAAGCAATAACATGGCATTCTTCTCTTTATTACAAATTGAATACAAGATTCTACATAAACCCTAAATAGTATACTGTCAAAATAATCACAGTACAAAAACCATTGTGTAAACCAAAAGTCTTTCACATCACACAGTCAGATGTAAATATAGGCATTAAGTGTACATTATCATACCCCCTAACTAACATGTGCAGTAACTATGCCTCCTTATTAATGTTAAAGTTATTTTCCAGTTTTTGCAATAATTGCTACACACTTCATAAATTGTAAATAAATAAACCTACAGGTTGGATGTCTACATTGTAGTAGGGCTTTCAGCATTAACAAATCACAATTATTAAGGTCTGAAATAAATGCATCCATTTATTTAATGGCGATTTATTGCATGCTATTTTGTCCTTTCAGGTACACCACTGGATAAGCCTCCGCTGTGTCTCCCTGTAGTCATAGAGATGGAAAAAGCAGACACTGCTGCATCTTTGAATGACTCATTTAACTAAAAAAAAAAACCCATAAAGCTCAGCTGATCAGTCAAAAGTAGTATCCACCTTGTGAAATCATACACATACATTTTTACTGTTACCTTTAGTTATTTTCATTTAGTTTTGGATCTGCTGGAAGTCCCATTTTCCGTTAATATTGTAACCTTTGATTAGATTTAGATTAAATTAGAGTGGGGTCAAGTGGTCCTTCACAGACAAAAATGTGAAAAATGATGCCATTTTCTGCATTTTGAAACATTTATAATCAAAACGCAGAATGAGAATGGTTATTATTTCTTGATCAGTCTGAAAGTCTGTGGAAACCTCAGTTAAATCATTCCATAGGCCTTCTTTAGATTATTTTAATCTTTTTTTATATATATACCAAAATAAGGAAAATACCATCCAATTTTAAAAATCTGAAGGAGCAAAACCTGTTTGAATGGGCATGAGGCCTATCTGTGCACGTTTATAAGGTTTATACCACGACTACAAGGTTTTGACCTTGACATACTTCCTTCATTTCCAATCATCCCTGGTTGAAGGACGCAGAATGGGGCGGGGTCAGATATGGGCGTTCACCTACATATTAGGTCATGATTTTAACATTTACACAAACAGTACCACCTGCTAGATAATCTCGAGACGCAGTCTACAAATATGACCCTATTCTTTATGCTAAAGGCGGGGTGGAGCTAACTATGTAGACTATCTGGGGCTATCCAATGAGAACAGTGGCGGGGACCACTCCATTTATCCGTCTCCGCCCCCTAGTCCCCGATCCGCCTCTCCGGTCGACGACCAGGGTGTCACTGATTCCGATTGGTCACTTTTGCCGGGTGCTCTCACTGCGTCACTTCCTTGTTGAATGCCGGATATAAGCCACCAGCGCGGCATTTTCAAAGTTTTGTTAGAGTAACTGTATCCCACTGTAATAGCAATTATCTGTATATATATATTAATTTAATTTAATTTAATTTAACAAGTTTTTGTTAGCCTTTATTTTAAGTAGAAATGGACTGTATGGATTCTCCAAGAGTATTTCCAAACTCCCCAAGGAAAGCCCGGGGACAGATTCAGGTTCGTAACTGGTTCATGTAAAAGTTAATGTCTTTATTTAAAACAAAGGCTCAGCAGAAAACGAGCAACATAGCTTAGGTAAAGGTGGTCTAACACATGATTTGCTCTCTTTTACGTGTGTTTTAATAAAGTGCTTTACGTTAAATTCAGGACTTTAAATGTTGCTGTCATCTAACAGCCCCCTCCATTGTTGTTCGCAGGTCATCTTTGGGCCGATGTTTTCGGGCAAAAGGTGAGTTATTTTCTGCACAGACATTTAACCACAGCAGCTCTCCGTGCAGTGTGGATTCATAAAATGTTTGAAGTTATGTTGGAATAACATTGTAGTCACACTTTGCGCCAAGATATGAACCTCCCGCCAAATCGGCTGCATTGTTTACTGTGCACAGCTGTGACCATACAGTCCAATTAATAACACAAGTTCTGCTCCGCAGGGTGCTTTCTATAATAACACGTTTTATTACCACTTCACACTGCTGTTGCACCTTTACTAAAACATATCGCATAGCGTTAATCACTTCCTGTTTGTGTTGTAGTATACTGTCTTAAAAAAGGCGGAAGAGCCACTGTCGTATAACTCAAATGTTGATGGTTTTTATGTGTCACTTCACTCATGTTATTTATTGTTATTCACCTTGCAGCACTGAATTAATGAGAAGAGTGCGTCGTTTCCAGATAGCCCAGTACAACTGCTTGGTGATCAAATATGCCAAGGATACACGTTATTCTGATGTAGGCATGGCAACACATGACAAGTAAGTTTTTTTTGATTATCTTTTTATTCACATATATACTTGTCTTTGTTTTCAGGGGTGAAGAATAAGGTCTATAGAACACTAAAAGCTTTGTGATCTTGCTCATTCATTCAGCTTTGATTTCTGTAGAGCAGAGTTTGAGTTCCTACAACAAATGAAGAAAGGTGGATGCATGGTGGGCTGAAGTAGTTTCTTGCAGATATGCCACAAATGGAAAATTAAGATGGCAGAGAGGGGGGGGATTGTGAGGCTCGTGTGGATACACCGAAAGGAAATCTCTATGTACACCAGTTAGTCTTTTGTCAAAACATGACTTTAAAATCTGAAATGAATGAAGTAGGAAAAAGCATTCATTAATTTTGAAGTGGGGAAGTAGAGAGAAATAATGTTTGCATACTTGATGCATGATGTCTGAACAGATGATGACCTCTAGTGGCGGGTATCCTGGGTACATTTTTTTGGGGGGGTAAACTTAATGTATCAGAAACTTGTTTTAAAGTAAAGAAACATTTCACGGCTGTTCGACTAGGGCAAAAAAAACCTGATGACGATCATTTTGATAGATATTGAGATCTCTATCATTACACATGATAACTCCATCCATTTCACAACCCAGCAAGCTTTCAACACATTTTGTTTTAATAGTCAATTGAGTTTATTCTCTCTCTTTTCTGTCCCTCTTTTAGAAACACAATGGCAGCTGTACCAGCCAACTGTCTGGCAGATGTGCGTCCTCTGGCATTGAAAGCATGTGTTATTGGAATTGATGAAGGACAGTTTGTAAGTATCATTTATACTTTCCAACTTGTGTGTTGACTTCATGCTTACCTTACATAGAGACCCGGTTTTCTAGTGAAAGGTGTTAATTCAGCAGTACTAATGCCACACTAACTACTTCTTTGTATCACTGGTGTTCTTGTAGTTTCCAGACACGGTGGACTTTTGTGAGGAGATGGCTAATTTAGGGAAGACGGTCATCGTAGCTGCTTTGGATGGAACCTTCCAGAGACAGGTGAGCGTCTGTGTTAGTCATTTTGAGCAGTATGTTTTTGGAAGTGTCACAGTGACATGTGCACACCACAAACACTGAGTGCATACGGCTGGAGTAGATGGAGCACCACTGTGTCTTTAAACGAAAACAAAATGTGCAAGAGAAGAAACACATTATTCAGGAAAAGACTGAACAATCTGCACGAGTTGCAAAATAACAAAAAGAACAATGTGCTCATTATTCCACACAGACAGAATGTGTCTGTTTGTCCTTGTAATTGAATTTATCTCCATCTATTCAGTGGTACTTACTGCTGTTTTTTTTTTGCTGTCTTGTGCATTCTTGTAGCCGTTTGGAAACATCCTGAACCTGGTTCCTCTGGCCGAGAGTATAGTGAAGCTGCACGCTGTCTGCATGCAGTGTTACAAAGAAGCTGCCTACACCAAGAGGATAGGAGCTGAGAAGGAGGTGAGAAAAGCCCCCCCCCCCCCCCAAGTAAAGTCTCCATAATTAACCCTGAAGTGCTTCAACACACGTTTTCATGGGTCATGTTAGTCAAATGATTTAACTTTCTTAATACTGAAGGAAGCTCTTGTTGCTCCAACATTAAACTACAAGAAAGTGTAACACTAAAGAGCATCAAATATAAGTGAAAATAAAGACAAAGTAAAACAAGTGGATAAAATTGAAATTCAAAGAAACCACGCCTAGGATAAATCGAGGTATAACAATTTACGGTAAGTAACAGAGAAAGCCATGTACACTAATGGGATTAATGAGTGGTATTGAAAGTTCAGACACAGACCCAGGCTCTGTTTGTGGAAGCTCCACATAGTGACCACACCATGATGCATGTGTACATTGTAGATAGCTTGAATTGTATTAAAGTAAATGTAATATAATCAACCATAACTTAAGTTCTAAATACTCAAACATCTTTTTCTTTAATTAAAAAATAGATAGATATGCTATCTCTCTTTTTTTTTCATAAGCCAGAGATGAATGGTTGTATTCACATCATGAAGGTAGAGGCCATTTTTTTTAAACGGCAACAAGAAAAACAAGTTATGTCAACACACTCAATGCCACACAAATAACGTTCATTCAATCACAGCGTTTCCACCAGCGGGTTTTTTCAGATGATCTTTTCTTGTTGCTGTTTTTATAATAAATCATTTCTAAGATTATAATTTAGAAACTGTTTCTGATTTTACTTGGCAGATTGTTACAACTGGTTGACTTCTTTTTGATTGATTTGGATTTAATCTTTATTTTGAACATGTATTTTTTTTCTTTTCTTTCCGAGACAAAAAACAAACCAACCCCCAAGATTTGTGCATAAGACAACTGTTGATTCTAATTACATGTTTGAAAAGGCGTGGAGAGAAGTGTGAATTCATCTAATCCCATCCCCTCTCCATTAATCTTTAGGTAATAATTTAGCACAGGCTTCCTTTCTTAATCTTAATAACTCCTTCTCCATTTCCCAGGTGGAGGTGATCGGTGGAGCTGACAAGTATCAGGCGGTGTGTAGAAAGTGTTATGGAGGACTGATGTGCGACAAAGAGAACTGCGCCCCCCTCAGGGACGAAACTCCAAATAACGTCCATTCAACTAAACTGGTCGACTCCGGGTGTCCCAGGAAGCTTTTCTCCTCTCTCCATCTCTGAGCACTAAAATGAGACTGTTTACAGACGCTAAAGCGAGAGCACCACAGATCAGAACATGGTTTTGTTTGTGTATAATTGGTACTCTCATTGTTTAGTGTTTTTATTGTATAGGACATGGCACCTGATTACACTGAGAACGACTGTGCCAATTTATCACTCATTGTCATACTTTTTAACAAAAAAAACTGTTTATTAATGTTTTTAAATTATTATTATTGAGATGTAATGTGTTATTTACGTGTAAACTTTGACAGTATGGTTATAGGGCAGGACTAATTGTACACATTTCATGTTGATGTTTTTTGTACTGGTGCACTTACTGTGAGAGATGTAATACTATGCCCTCACATACTACACCAGACAGAAATAACCCGCTCAAAGCCTGGCAGGCTCCAAGGATGTGCAGAGAGCTGGGAAACTGGCATGATAAAGTATATCCTCCATACTACATTAAACCTGTATTACCTGAGTATGTTGATTTAATAAGAACCTTGATACAAGTGGACATCCAGTGCATGATTTTATTCTACAACAAAGGGACTCATAAATTGCTGATTTGCTTGTGACAAAAGCAAAAGGGCACAAAGCAATGTCAAAACTCAATGTTCAATAAAAAGACTTAAAAAAAAATGAAGCTGACCAAAGTCTGAACAGTGTTTGTGCCCATTTTTATGAAACATCTGTAGGCATAAGAAATCATAAATGTGATTTTACACAAATCCGGCAGTCTCAACTAAAACACAAGGGCCTAAGTGAAATATAATTAAAAGAAAATGCAAAAACTATCACTAAATGTGCAGACATACTTTAGAAAATCAGCAGTTGAGTCATTCAAGTTGCTTACAAGCTGCAGTTTTATAAACTGGGGCATAAAATGATCCTGAATCTTCAATAAAGGGCAGATTTCACTCATTTTTGCAAAAATCGTTAAGGCACAGAAGCAAGGACAGCTGTGATACACAGGTGTTTAACCTCGACATAAATTCAGGATCTAATCATGGCACATTTTGTTTACTTCCCTCCCTGAATAACTCAAGTATAATTTTCCTCTACAAAAAAATCAACATCAGGTATTTTAATTACAAATTGGCTTCAATAATTTCCTTTTCAAATGAAATAATAAAACAAAAAAGTCCCTCCAAATGTCTTCAATGTGAAACCATAACAGTGTCATGTTATATAAATAAGACCACATTCAAAGTCTGGTCTTTCATTCGCAGATCTAAACTCAGCTAACACTCCAATAAGTTTTTTTTAAACATCCAGGACTATTTAAAGACTACGTTGTTAAGTTGTAAAACTGACAGATGTGTTATCGTCAAGCACAATGCAACAAAGTAAACCAGAAGTCTTTGTAAGGACGGTTGTTTAAATCTCACCGTAGCAGGTTAATCTGTCTTCTGTAAAAACAACCGAGGAGCAGTCTGCCTTCAGCAGTTTAGATTACAGTGCATGTAAACAGGAGATAAACATCCGTGTCACAAGAACTTGAGTCCTCAAGGCCCAGCAGGAAGTGTGAGGTTGCACTGTTGGAGAGTGCAGTCTTGCTAGTGGTTAATAAGTTACTCTTAGCCCAGACATGGTGGATAAACCTGTTCAATAAGTGCTAAGTTATCTACATGCCCCTCCTTCCTCTCTTTTGCAGTCAGCTACGAGTTTAAAGACCAACACTGACTGAAATACCTCCACTACAGGTCAGCATATTTCATTCATTTTTACAACGGAAATGATGAGAGTTACATTTCTTCAAAGATAAAGAAATGGAGGGCTTTTGTGTTTTCTCATGTCATAGATCAGAAGCACATTAAGTATCGAGTGGTCCTAAGAAAGCTTGCAGAGATGGCACGAGTCATTTCACTGTGGCACTTGTAAGCTAAACTTGTTGAGTTCTTAAAAAATGTACTAATTGCACTTAACAATTTGGCTTTATAGTGTTTCTTTCCACACTGTATCCTCAATTGTTAATCGGTCCTCAGATTAAATGCACTAGAGGGGAAGAATCCACCAAACCAAATAAGAAGAGAAAATCAGGCACATACAACCATTGTGATGGTAGCTTTGCATCGCGAGATCTATGTACAAATGCACATTCCCAGGTATCCCAAGGAGAGTACAGAGGAACACGTGAAGTGTTCGCTTCTTCCACTCTGATTGGAGCGTTCTCAGACTAATGTGACCTTTAAACTCCTGGGTACATTCCAACTACCTCCCCCGTTCAGGATGAGCTCATTTGAGGTAAAAGTTGCATCTTTGCACAAAGGTCTAAAGTCAGATTACCTAATCATCAGAAGCTAATCTTAACAGTCAGCCTGATGTCTCAGGATCTGATCAGACCTTTTAACCAGTGTGTCCCTCATCTCTGACTTGCAGGTGCACTGCTCAGGTTCTCAGTTTGATTTAACACATTTTAGAAAGTGTGTTAAATCAAATGTAAAACCACATCAATATGATATGAATATAGTCTGTGCAGTGCAACTACAATCAGTCCACCAACGATGACCTGGAACACCTCCTCGCTCATGTGACCTTCCTTTGTCTCAGTAGTTTGGCGGCTGGTAGCCGATGTCTCCCTGTGGCTGGGGCTGTGGGGTGAAGGGAGGCTGTGGGTGCATGTCGGGCACACTGCCTGGATAACCTGTGTATGTGGTGGGGGTGTATGTGGTGGGGTTGTAGGTGGTGGGGGTGTAGGAGGTGGGGGCGTAGGTTGGAGGGTAGGGGGTATGGAGATCTGGTGTTGGCTCCGTGTACGTCGGGATTGTGACTTCATTCACGCCTCGGCGGAAACGGCCCAGTGCGAAGTAGGTCAGGATTCCCTGCACGATGACAGAAAAAAAATAACTTGACAATGCAGCTTTCTAAACAACTTTTACTTCATACCAGTATATGAAACAAAAAAGCCTTATATAGAGAGACTTTACACTCTGTCAGTTCCTCAAATCATGTGAAAAGCTCCGCCAATGTATTAGTGCAAAAACCTGCAGTTCCTTTAGTGTCCACTTGAGGCTCACTCCAAAAGCCCTGAGAGTCCCATTAACGCCCATTTTTCAGCAGAAATAAACATGTCAACAGTCTGGCTTGAAAATCCAATTTGGTATCAATAATATCTTGTATTAATTGGTACACACTGTACATTTTTTTAGAACTCATCCTTTTTGATTATGTAGTATAGTCTCTGTTTGCACAGAGGCTTAAGGCCCGCCACCGCTCCATGTCTTTGCATTTTGCTACATTGATTGTTGAGACAGCATTTCCAATATGGCAACTTTCAGCAAAAGGCCTTCTTCAGTGCTAAAGAAGGCCATGTGCAGATAAACATACTTTGAAGGACATTTAGTGTGCTGACTTTTTCGTCTCTCCAACCGCAATTGTTTGCCTTCAAAAGTCCACTCTCCAAAACAAGGAGTGACGTCACAGAGACTTCGTCCATGTTTTATACACTAAGCCTTAAGGTAAACTCTGCACAATCATCATTTTGTACATATGAACTAATGCCAGGCAGTGTTTCAAAACAATCAATGGACATTGTAGGAAAGCTGGCTTACAAATTTCCAACAGAGTGGTCCAATCTCATGTCTGTGTATTCATAATGAAGTTGCAGTTAGCTTAGCTTAAGAACTGAAAACTAAAGGGAAACAGCAAGCCTGACTCTGTCCAAATATCACAAAAGTCTGAAAACCAGAACCTGTAAAGCTAATTTATTCACATTTTTAATTTGTTTTCTGTAGAAAAGGTAAAGAAACAACAACTTACGGAGTAGAGGAAGCTAATTTACCTGTTCAAGAAAATGCCCCTCCCACAATTGGCATCACATACAAATCAAATGGTGATAGTTTTTAAATCAACTCTCTGCAGTAGCATCATTTCTTAAAGACATAAAGCAATGGTACCTTCATTCTTGATCTATCAAGCTCTTGGTAGAAAAGCGATGAAATGTATATATCCCCTTAAAATCACCAGTAAATAAAGAGGCTAAAGTCAGAGCTGTGGTTTTAAAACAGAGGACGGTTTTCCTGCTCACCCATGTTGCGATGGAGAAGAAAGAGAAGGCCACTGTAGCACGTGCAGCATCCACTGGTACTCCTCCGATTTCATGAGTTTTACCCCACTGACTGGCCAACAGGCAGAAACACACAAACCACAGGAAGGTCCACGCCCCTAGAAAACATACAGAGACACAGATGTACAAACACACAGGCCGATATAAAAGACTGTTTCCACTGCGGGAAAAGTTATCAAAAGTGCTCAGCTGAACCCCTGATATGCAAAGTAAACTCCTGTGGAAAAAATAAACAAAAGAACAAAAACATGGTCTATAGAATTAAAAGAGGCTGAGACCTCTTGCCATCTGCTCAAATGACCACAGGCTGTTTTTCAAACTACAACTCCATTGTTTCATGGAAGAATGGCTTACTGTGAACTGTGTCATGTACAGCTGATGAATGTTTAATTTCATCTAAATGTGACGTTGCACTCCCCTCCTCCACCCTGCTGCTCACTCTTCAGCGGTGAATAGTGCATGTTGTGTTACGTCGGGAAAACAGGCAGAGGTTTGTCCCCCATTGAGACAATACTGTGAGGCTTTGTGTATGAAACTAAAACTGAAAGGAAAAGACTGAGAGAGACAACACAACGCACTCTTATAAACTTCTCCTGCCAGCCCCCTAGAAAAGTATCCATACAGAGTCTTAGTGAGTTTATGTGTGAACGCAGCAGGAAATGTTCATGAAAATGTCACGATTCGCGAGCAAGTTGACGCTTGTGTAATGCCATCAGTGCGCTTCATACTCTGTTCTGCTGGCCAGTTTGTTTTCCACTGTTTGTTGGTACTTTGAATATGTCAAATTACATGTGAGGCTGCATGGTGGCGTAGTGAGTAAGACAGCCGCAAAGCAGCTCAAATCTTGGTTGAGGCAGAACTGGAGTGATTTGAGTTTCTTCCATTGGTGTTGATTTTCAATGTAAGCTGGGATCGGTTCCAGCCCCCGACGACCCCGAATGGGAAAAGCGGTATAGATAATGGATTTAATTACATGTGGCACTTACATTAATGCAAAAAAGCATCAGCGTAGGGGACTCTGTCAATTGGTCTGGCCTGTCTTACTTCCTGAGACCCCCCCTCTTGTTTTACTCATAAAGGTTTCAGGGATAGTGTAGAGGCAATTCTTCTTGTGTGTCATATAAAAATTGTCACTTGTGTCATAGGAGCCAACCTGTTCGTTCCTGATGCGTGTCCACTTTAATATACTCACAGATGCGCCGTTTTACTTGATTTCTTATTTTATTCGTAAACAGTTTCAACTTGTTTCCAGAACAGATCCAAAATGAATATATCAAAACATTTGCTGCGTGGCTCCTATACCTCCACCACAGTCCACAAACAAAGACGATCACATTTTTTCTCACCACCTGTGCATCGCACCCAAATTAATTAACTCGGCTCCACCCTTAACACAAAATACCTGCCAAAATAAGCCCAAGTAAATCCGTTATTCACCATAAACATTTCCATGTCAAATCAAGTACTTCTCATAAATTGATACTTTTTTCTAACAACACAAAATATATGCTCTATTAGCACAAACTTAAATCATACTTCTGAAACTAAAGTGACCATGATTAAAATGGCCTCTAAAGAAAGGCTGTCCTGACATTTTCCACAAATTGTCTAGAGTAGGCTGCATGTGTAGACGTGGAAGATGGTGTGGTAAAAAAAATGTTTAAAACAACACAGCGGGTTATGCAAAAGCTAAAGTATGAAAGACGCATTAAAAAAGGAATAGCCATTAATATAGAAATTCAATATGATAATTTACAATATCGGAGAAATGTGTAGTCCTTGTATGACATATGTGCTATGTATTTAAGATGTTGTGTTTGAAGGAATATAATGTAGATGTAGAAACATAAGATTATGCGTTGGGGTTGATATTTTTTCTGGTTAGATCAGCCTCTTCTCACAGAACCTTTATTGACTGCTCTGCTGTTCATTTTCACCTTTCACAAATACAAAAGGTTTGCGGTGCGTCCTGAGCATTTACCTAAACCTCCACTGTCTCTGCAAATGCCATTTATTTGCCACTCACCTGAGAATCCCAGGTCGGCCATGACAGCATACTTCCTCTCCTGTGCATTGCTCATATAAGGCACGTAAACATCCAACACCAGGAAGCCCACACACGCCAGGAAGGCGATCACCCCGATGCCAATAGCGTAGTGACACGCCGAGTCGTTCTGGTTGAAGATGCACTTTGCATTCGGATCGTGGGGAGAGTTGATGTATCCCTCTGTTGTGATGGAGGCGAACACCACCAAAGCAAATATCTGCAGAGATGCAGAGGAACACAGCCTTCAATCATTAGCAGACACACAAGGAGAGACTGTAACATGCTGTAGGCTTTTCAAGTTTACACATTAACTTCACCTTGCATAATTTACATCACAGCAACGTTCACGTTCACAAGTAATGGTAATCTTTTGAGATTGTTATCCTGCCTGGAAACTGAGACTTACAATTTATAGGCAGTCCACATTTAATAATTGACTGAAATTTAGTTCAGATCTGTAGTTTTGAAAAATGTCTCTCCAAGTGATTCAAAAAACAAAACAAAATCTGACATCTGTGCCCATATTAAAAAAAAAATCTGATAATACTCTCTGGGAGCTCCGATGGATCGGGTTCCTAGCTTAGGAGTGATTTTGGAACATTCTCAGCAACTCTGAGCCAGAAAGAGGCATGGTTGAGCACCTAGCTAGGCATGACACATTCTTTCAAAAGCTGTGATTGGTTGATACAAAAAGGAGTTGATAATGGACATGGACAGGGCCTAATCTCAGAAACTAAGACATTAAGTAATTATAAAAACTATTTTATGTAATAACAATCTTTGTTGAATCATCAGCCACTGTTTAAAAGTAGATATCCTACACACTGTTCGGTGTGGCTTTAGGTTATCTATATATTTTACTCTCATTTATTTTCCTTTGTGGTAATTTTAGTACTTAATCTAATTTATATCATTCACTTTCATTCAGTGTGATGAGAACATTTGTCTTTTCTCTCTGTCTTTCCGCCTTTTCTCCTCTGCTTGAGAAACTCTTAAAGGAGCAACATGTAACCGACACATAGCTTTTAAATGGTTACTGCAGTCTCAACTCAAATTCTGTCTCCCGCTTGCCCCCTCCTCCCTCGAGTCGATACGCAGGTTGCCATGTCACAGACACTGAAGCTTCAGTGTTTATCCAGCTCTGCAACGGTCTTGAATCCTTTCTGCGTTCTAACATCTCTCCATGTTTCAAAAGCATCTCCAGTATGTATCCTAGTTTTACCACATTTCTGGTTGTAGAGCTTATTAGAAAAATGCAGAGGCTTTTTAGGTCGGGTAGAATCAGTTATATCTGAACTAGTACACCTGCCCACTTCCATCACTGCAACACCTTTTGCCGTTTGCCAAGGGGCGTCCAAAACGGCCGTGCGAGGGAGCCTTAAAACCACCTACCTTCGCTGATCAAAACAAATACAGACCATTCTGCACCAGAATCTAAACTTAGAAGGAGGACATACTGGCTGCCAAACCGCTTCATTGGCAAACATCTTCAGATTTGTTTTTTTATTGAAAGATAATACTAAATTCACCAGGTTCAAATGATGAGATGAAACATTTAAAGAAAGGCAAAAAAATGTGTATCCATTTCCACTGGTTAATAATGCATAAAACACAGTGACATCATCTCTTTTAGTATTGCTGACTCTCGAGATTCCCCTCACCTCCTGTGCTCGTCGTCATGTGTTTACAAAGTGAGCTGAATGCTGCCTGCTCCCTCTGACCGTCCCTTGCTCTGTTTCTGTCTGCTCTGGTTACCCACCTAACCATGTGACCCACTTCTGAGTACAGCTGCCTGCCATGTGACTCCAGAGATGCCACCAGCTCGCTAACAGCTCTCATTATGAGATCTGGGAGGAGGATAGAGAGCGACTGTTCAACCGGTGGGAGGGAGGACGAGGTGAGAGGGGGCAGAGAGAGAAACTGGCCACAAAAGTGGATGACAAGATGACACAAAAAGTCCCGGAAAGTAGCAGAAGACGGAGATATTAGGGAAGTGAATACAGGGGAGTTCCGAAACACAAGACACAAGTGTGACAGGAGGATTGTTGTTGCAACCAAAGATGGATGTTTCTGTGCATAAATGTAGAGAAAGTGTGTTGAGTGTCACATGTAACAAAAAAAAAAAGACCAATTAACTTCTAACAATTTCTTTGGGCTCTTTTCCCACTATTAAGCATAAACATACAGAAAATATTCCTTTTCAAGTCTTTATTTTGGCAGAAAAAGGATCAAGGAAAAAGTACAAACCTATCTCAACATCTTTCACAATTTCAGTGAGGAAAAAAGGTGATGTTATGAAACACCTTTAATATCAAGAGCTTCTGGTTTGGCTACTGGTGAATGCCTTCCATGTTCCAGAAAAGGGTGATGCATTGTGGGACATGTAGGCAGAGGTTGCAGAGATAGAATAATCCTTTCTTGTTTCATAGGTTCTGACTCAGTAAGATTAAAATCACCTGATATAAATGCTTATCTAGCCAGCGCCTATTTGAGACTAGCTGCCCAAAGTGCGTGTGTGTGTGGGTGTGTGTGTGTGTGTGTGTGTGTGTGTGTGTGTGTGTGTGTGTGTGTGTGTGTGTGTGTGTGTGTGTGTGTGTGTGTGTGTGTGTGTGTGTGTGTGTGTGTGTGTGTGTGTGTGTGTGTGTGTGTGTGTTTGATAGGTAATCAGTGGAACATATTCACCAAGAATAAAAGCAAGGGTCCACAGGGGGAGGAGAGGTATCACCTTACCTGCCCACAATCGGCTGTTTACAAGTGACACACACACACACACACACACACACACACACACACACACACACACACACACACACACACACAGTTTCCTAAACACATCAGATAAACACTGAAAGGTTGAGCCAACCAAGGACACATGCTGTCCTCAGTGTTCATCTCCCTCATTGGATGTGCTACATTATACCGGGGAAGCTGGGTGTTTTCCCCCCCGCCGCTTACTCACACAGACTTTACACTTCATTAACCAAGTACATCAAAATCGAAAGTAATCCAACAAGAAGTCTGTTGGGAGAGGATTGCAGTCAGGTCCGGTTAAAGTCCCACTCCTCGAGTCCTACAGTTTTAATTCAACCAGGAGATGTTTGAGAAGTATTTCAAACCCCAAGCCTTTACTCTGCATGCTCACTGTAACTTTTCCAAATTATATTTGGTTGCATAACCAGTCTGGTTAGAATCACTTTGGACTTTTCTCTAACAAGTGTTGAACCTACAAAAACAAATCGGTGTGCCATAAGATTTGCCTAGCAACAGGTGAAGCTTGCAACAACTCCTGATGAGTTTCCCTGAAACATGTATTCATCACAGCAGACAAAAAATATTAAATTAAAATAAAATATGTGCAAAAAATATACTGCCGTTTGTACTATGTCTAAGAGATATTTATATTTTTACATCACCCTATTTAGAAGTCACATTGAAAATAGTTTACTGCTGTCTGATGAGCACACATTAAAACGACTATACTTTATGCTATGTTTAGTCGAGGACATAGATGTGAACGTGTGACACTTTTCTGTCTTTGTCCTCTGACAGTAGCGGTGTTGACCTGTGCTGTCGCCGAGCTGCTGTCACACACCAGCTGCCCCGCAGACACGCTGCTGTTCCTGTTGTTCCGTCCAGCACATGGAAAATCATTTATCGAGGCCAGGCGCACCTGCTCAGTGACACCACGTTGATATTACGTCTGCTTCTTTGGACGATAACTTTTTTTTTGAATACATAAACTCATACTTCACAATGCCTCCACTCACCCAGCTAAGAAACCGCACGATAGTTTGCGGTTGTCGGACAAACTTGTTGACGTCGAAGCCTCCTCCAGCGAGCGAAGCCCCGTACGCTGTAGCACCGCCCGTCTCCTCCATGTCTTCGCCCTTTAAGTGGATCCTCCGAGGAACTCTGTGTGGCTTTTCACAGACCTTACTGACTGGACAGACTCCCTGCTCAGTCAAACTTAACTCGGACTACGTCTTACCTCTCGGCAGTGCTGCTTCACTTGACGGAGAAGACTAGAGACACCCAGAGGGGCTGCGCGGGCGGCTGCGCGTCAGAGGGGGCGGAGCTGACGGTGAGCGGCCAAGAGAGTGATCATGTGTGACTGTTATCATTGACACCAAACATATTAGAGAGAAATAACTGTTCCCATTTATAAAGACAAGGACGTGAAGCGCAGAGTATCACGAGATGTTTATTTAAAGTTTGAACCCTCAGGACTCCTCCACTGCTTCATCCTCCAAAGTCTTCTTCACTCTCACATTTTGGGGCCATTCATGTACTGAGACTTCAGCACCCTGAGATGAGAAACAGTAATGAGGAAGTGCATTTGAAAGCATTGTTTTGCAATCTACCAGTAACTTCACACTGAAAGAAGATGCATTCAAGTAGATTGTAAAGTTTTTGAAACAATGGTGATTAACTGCCAATGGAGATGCAATATAGTTTCACTGCACAATATAAGACAATTAGTCACGTCAAAGTAAAATTACAAAATGAACAGGTCTAGAAGTAGAAAAAATTGTCCGCACACCAGAAGCTGCTCCAATTTAATTTAATTTAATGGAAAATTACAACCTGTCACGTTTCAGGTCCTCGCCCTTCATCAGACATGAACAAGTGAAATGGGCACACCTCTACATACAACCCCAGAGGACACCTGACATGCCATGTGAAAATTCACAGGTCTAACATTACATTGACCAAGATGCCTCCTAAATCATGGGATAAATACGGAAGCCCCAAGGGGCATGAATCCATACGGGCTCGAAACATTGTGTTCCTTAATGCGCATAGCAAATAAATAAATAAATGTATCTTTGGGAGTCATAGTGTTGCAAGTCTTTGTTTGATGCACCTTAATATGTGACGTGCGTGTGTTTGCTGACCTTTTCCGCATGTCTTTTAAGCCAGGTGTACACTACTTTATGCAAATGTACCTGATTTTTATGTCGCTAGACTGACACTGAAGTCTTGTAAAATTTCAGTCGGATCGCACATCTTTCGTGTACACAATGTGCATGACGGCGATCAGGGCCAGATCAGCTGCTCCTATGGATGAACCTCTGGCATGTTTGAAATTTTGGTGGTACCGTAGGACAGGACTGCACTTGCACAGTGAGCGCATAGCCACGAGCTGATTCCCCAACTTCAGGCCTTTTTTCCCTGATTATGCCTGCACAAACTGTCAGACAGTATCTGAAACACCATAGCAACAGCCTGTTCGATTAGTCTCCCCCTCCTATCAAGTAAGTTATGCACAAGAGAATCGTTTGCTGGAAATATAGCTGCAGACATCCAGATGCAGGGGAACATTTGTTATGATTAAACTTGCTAGTGAGCTCTTGTGTGTGCGTGTGAGAAAGCGAGAGCGTTTCTGGCAGTGTTTGTATTTTAACACAAAAATACATTAATCTGAAACACATTGATCCACCTTCAGCCTCTGTATGTCGGAGTTTTCAGAGGAAAATTTACTGACAAATGTCAATGCTCTGACCTGACAAAACTTGACCAAGGAGTGTGAGCACGAAACCCGCGAGCTTTGGTCTTGCGTTGTAAAGTATGCAGTCGTAGGCTACAACATTAGCTTACATTTTTCAGTTGTACAGTGTTTTCACAGCTTTAGTAGTTCAACTACTTGAATCACATTGTAATTTAAAAGTTTGTCACACTACCAGCAAGCAAGCAACATGTTTCTGATAGATCAATTACATGATGTTTATTCCTCTCAAACACTGGAGAGAACAGAGGCATCAGAGTTTGACTGTGGACTGATTGATTGATCTGTTTGATCTCACCTGATCAAATTCTTCTCCTCTGGCTGTCCTCATCAAATCAACATCCTCATCGTAATCTGACAGATCCTGTAAGAAGAGAAACTTGAGCTTTTTGTCACAGCTTTGGAAAGTTTGAGAAAGCAAGATATTAACTGACCAGCTCTCCTTCATATGCAGGTTTCATTCTCACCATCTCCAAGCTCGCCCTGAGAGGAGGAAATGTCAGTAAAAAGGTCTTGAGAGAGTCAGTTTCTTCAAAGTGAGGTAAAGTGCCATATCATAAAATGTTACATATCATTCACTGAGAACACTGAGGTCATGTGTTGTGTATGATAATGTATCTTTAACAACCTGAGGATGAACATGCAGTCTAAGTGCACTAAAGTTATGATCAGTTTTAAAAGGATGGTTGAAACATTTTTACTGTACTGAACATATAAAAGGTTTGACTCTGAAATGCCGCAATGCCTTGAAACATTAGTCTTTTGCACCTAAATAAATTTGCCTTAAGTGCTCCGGTACTTTCTTTGGATCCAGTCTGAGAGAAGGAGTCCACTGAATCATATTTTGATCGTCTAATGTTGTTCACTGAGAGCACAGACCTCAATTTGTAAAGTAGCTGAAACGCAAGAGTTTCTTTCAACTTATTTAAATTCTTCCTTTGAATTTGAACAAAGAATTTATACAAAGCCAATTCCTAAAAGTTCGGATTTTGTGTAAAATGTAATGTCACATATTAATCTCCTTTTCAACCAGTTTAAAGAAGTCTCAGAGCTCCCCAAAACATGTGAAGTTTCTTGTTAAAAATCATATATAATCATATTTGATCATGCCTATAAACACCTCTATGTCAGCCGTGCTCAGAACAGGCTGTTTCTGTGTCTGTAGCTTTAAATGCTAGTGACCTGTGTTCGACCACGCCCCTCAGGAGAGCTTGGGTGGTTCGGGCTTTCTCGCATCATGCTCAATTGTTTATGGTGAGAAGGCAGACTCAGAGAGCAGAACAAACACCTAGCTGTGGGGGTGTCACCCACCTTGGGAAGGGTTTACTTCCCCTTTTGATGTCAAACATAATATGTCACCTTGAAATAAAAACACAATGTAAAGATTTTCAAAACATTGAAAACCCCATTTCATTGAAAATAGTACAACTACAGCATGTCAAATGTTGAAACCCAGCCCAGTTCGATTTGTTGCTTTCAACATGTTTCCAAAAAGTCGGGAAAGGGTCATGTTTAACCACTGTGTTGCATCACTTTTTCCTTTTAACTGCACTCTGTTCACTTTGTGAAACTAAGGAGACATGTCTCTGACATTTTGAAAGTGGAAGTTTTACCATTCTTACTTAATGTAGGATTTTTATTACACAGCATTAAGGAGCTTGTTTTCAGACGCTTTGACGTCTTCTGTCATTTCACATTGTGGGTCTATCTCACAGTAACTGTCAGTTGTCTTAAGATGGCAAAGAATACTCCCAAAATGATCAACTTTCTGTTTTTGTCATTGTATCCAAAATAATCTCGATCAAGGCCTCCAATTACCCCAACACTTTTACTACAACATGTATTTATTACTACTACTGCAATATAACTCTGGCACTTTGTATTCATTTATGTACTAGGTGTGATGTGGATGTTTTTTTTTTTTTTTTTTAATGTGCAAATGTTTTTGATATTGTACGCAAGTGTCATGTGTCTATTCACTTCAATGCACCAACAAGGTTGAGTGATCTAAATCTCATTGTGACCTGTCATAAAATGACAATCAAGATCTTCAACTTGGTTATTTGGACCTCAAACAAAACATTTTTTTTCCATTTTCAACATGTCGTGCACCATTTTGAAAGGTTGCTGTTTATAAATTTTGAATTAAAGCTGCTGTATTGGAATAACGGCTATTACTCCTTTTAATTGCAGATAGTGGATTAGCATTCAGCATGTTGTTCTTGCACAATAAGAGAAAAAATGCTGACTAAGTATCAAGTAAGTCCAACTGACAAAAGGAAGTAGCAGCTTCATAGGAAACGGGTCATTATTCAAAAAGCATCAGACATTAACCAAGAACAGACTCACATAGACTTCTCACCAAACTGCCTTCGCCCTGAAAGAAAAAGAAAAAACTCAAAGTTAAAGTGGCAGTGAGGAGGCAGTGACAGCAGATAAAAACTGGACATGATGCAAACTCACTGAACACTACTCCAACCCAACAACAAACAGAGACCAGGAGAACCAGAAATGTAAAACTTCCAAAGACAACGGCCACACCCAGGAAGGGGAGACGATTCAGAACTTCTTTAACCAGATACCTCCTCGTGCTGCTAATGGCGGTGGCGTTATCAAAGCTGTCAGACACCTCACAGTGGTACGTCCCAGCGCTGCTCGTCCCCACAGAGAGCAGAAAAACGGACTGCTCTGGAGGCTGGTGCACCACATAGTAAAAGCTTCCTCGGTCATGTAGGAGGGTTTTATTGAGGAACCATTGGTACAGAGGATGGGTTCCCTTTGCAGCCTTGCAGTAGAGCCTCAGGCCGATCACAGCGTAGTTTTCTCCAATGTCAGTGTCGTAGTGCATCGTCACAGGCCCTCCAACAGGGACTGTTGGATCACAAAAGACATCATGGACATTGAAAAAGTCATTTTTACCACAAACTATTTATTTTTTTAATTCACGTACCAACTTCCAGAGGAATCCGTTTACTGAATGCAATCTCGTCTCCATTGTTAGCCTGGCACTGAAGCCATCCCAAATGTTGGCCCAAGACCAAGGGGACCTTAAATTCTGCATTTCTTTCGCCAACGGTTGTATTAGCAACCAGTTCAGTCCTGTTATAAAGTGAAAAGGTGACAGGCAGAGTCCCTTTTGTTGACTGACAGGTTACCACAGCAGAATAGTTGTGGGAATCCTCCTTTAACACGCTGAAGGAGATGTCGGGGTGGGACACCATTTCTGTGGAAGGATGATGCAGAGTGTTATTAAGAAAACGCTCAAATCTGAGAAGAATGCAGTCTCAGAGTTTATTGATAACCTTTCACTGTAATCAGGACTTCAGAGCTGTTGGAGGTGAAGACATCTGTGCCATTGAAGGTGTTGGTGGCCACACACATGTACGACCCGCTGTCTTGAGAGGTTGTTCTGAAAGTGATATGGATAATTATGTCAGTAAAATTTCATGTGCCTTCTTTTAACTCATCTGTTTTGAATATATTAAGGCTAAGAGTTATGCACTATTAGGGTTGTTGCTGATCTGATTGTCAAGCAGGCTTGTAGTAGTTCCTCTGCTCCACATCTTTGCTGTAGATGGACTGATCTAAAGGTTGGTGAAGAGAGCATTTCCAATATGGCAACCGCCATCATTGGGCTTCATAACATGACTTTAGAAACCAATGGGGGGTGTCACCGAGACTATGTCCATGACTTGGCCAAACCTCATTCACCAAACCTCCTAATAATAACTTTGGAGATGCATGATGCACACTGGCTCAAAAGATCTTTCCTGTCTACGTACATATTTAAAGCTACATCTGAAAATGTAGTTTGAGTGTCAATTGTTAGCTTTTAATTTGAAAAATTCACAACTGACTTATAGCTGACGTTTAGCTGAATCCAGAGTTTCATTCTGTTTAAATTTCTTTACTACCTGGGGCGCTAGTGGCCTTGTGGTAAATTAGTGTGCTCTGTGTACAGAGCTTATAATCCTCAAGGCGGGTCACTCTGGTTCAAATCCTTTGTCGCATGTCATTCCACACTCTCACTCTCTCCTTGATTTCTGACTGTATCCACCCTCCTGTCACTTGCATAAAGGCACAAGAGGCCCACAAATAAATCTAAAAAAGAAATACACTTTACTACCTGCAGTTCAGCTTTGCTACCAATAAACTGATAAATATTTAAACAGCTTCCAAATAGCAAACTACAAGCAGCAATGAAGCACTGCAGTAAAGCTGTTGAGTCTCACCTGGTGATCAGGAGTTTTTCTCCTTCAGCTCTGTGATGGGGCGACTGAGAGACAGGCTGACCGTTCAGCAGCCAGGTGTAGGAAACGTGATTTCCTGCAATAAGTTTACAATGTAGCTCCAAAATCTTCCCCTCAAAGAACTCCATGCGACCAGAATCGACAAAAACCTGTGCGCCTTTCACCGGTACTACAGGACAGAAACAGAAACAGACTGAGTTCAGCTCTTCTCATCATGAAGTTCATGATTTATTTTTATTGCAGACATTCTCACCATGCTCCTTTTCTTATAAATGAATACTTAAATTATTAAGTATGCCAGCATGCTTTAATTCTTATTGTTAGCATGTTTGTGTTTGGTTAAAGTCGCAAACTCCTCAAATGTTGTTAAAAGTGTGCAGAAAAATGCAATTTCTTGAGTGTCCACTTGAGGCCGGCTATAAAAGCCTCAGAAGTCCCATTAACACCAATAATAAATTTATATATATATATATATATATATATCTCTCTCTCTCTCTCTCTCTCTTTGGCTAGCTTTAATTATAAGAACTCTGTAACTTGTTTTTGAAAAGTGCTATAAATAACGTTATGATTATTATTCTCCATTCTTTCTACAGTCTATTGTTTCATGTTAGCATCTTGAGCTAACAATAAAATCTTTTTTTTCCCAAGTATTGCCTCAAACAACTGCTATGAGGCTGTAGCAAAGGTAGATGATCCCACTGATGTCATGTCGGTTGCAGCCAAACTTTGCAAACCACTCATTGAGTTTTGTTCCAATAGAACATGATAGATATAGTTTAAGAGTCAGATAAAAAAAGCCATGTACATATGAGACTCACCAACAACTCTCAGGTGGCGTGTGTAGCTGACCGTGGGCTCAATCTTGGAGTTGTTCTGGGCTTTGGCCACACACTCCAGGTTTCCCTCATGGTACTGTCTGATGAATATGGGAAAGGTCGCAGTCTCCCCTGCCAGAGCGGTGTATTCAGCCAAAAGCCTCTCACGGTTCCCCTCCCTGGAAATGGTTCATATAGATTACTATATCGTTAGATGTAAGGGTTGGATTATAGTGAACAAATACTCACTTATATAACTGCAGCAGGATGGATTCATTTTTGGGATAGGTGTTAAGTTTACATTCAATATCTACCACACTTCTCAGCAGAGCCTCGGGTGGGCTAAACAGTTGTGGACGCCCCAAAAATGACTGAACTATAAATAAAAGGAAACCAGACAAATCAAAAACACAACAGACAGACTAATTAACTACAAAATGGGTTATATTAATTAATAATACACGCAGTAACACACTCTCAAACACTGCAACTGACTTACTGTTCTCCTGGCTACAGTAGCACAGCCCTGTGGCGAGGGGAAGACATCAAACATAATCAGAAGTTTCAAATAACAAAATATAAATTGTGCCACAGTGTGTATCATGTCTTGTGTATCAGCTTACCCAGTGTGATCAGAAGGACAGAAGCAAACATCCTTGAAGAAAAACATGTGTACCTAAAGTAAAGATAGTTACACTTCGGTGTGTGTTAAAGACGTTTTGATGTGACGGAGGTTTGAAGCGCTGTTGGTGGAGAGAGATAGACACACACACTTAAGACACATGTGCAAGTAGCTGATAGTGACAAAGTATACCTCAATATCACACACTCCCTTTCTGTAACATTACAAGTCAATTTTTCATTGGTTTGATAAAGAAAAAAATAAAGCATATTTTTAGTTTGAGTTTTTATTTGAAAAAAAAAACCATGGCTGTACATTTTCCAAGAATCTATCACTCACTCTTTGATTAAATGTTTCACCTGTTTCTTCTAAGCAACATGATGAACACATGAAAGTTACATTAGACGCATCATTCTGCAGAGCTACTTCCACCTATCTGCAGATGTTAAATTAACACATTTTAGAACGAGGTGATACATGTGAATGATGAAGTGCAGCTCCTTCTGAGTCAAACTGTGACCTCTGTGGCCTGTAAACAGAGACAGAGAACAGTCATGATTTCTTTTATCACACAGACATGATCAATAGATTTTAATTTAAAGAACCCTGTCATTGTAAAACATATTCTTATTTAACATCCTCTAAAACTAGCCCCATTGTAGCATCATACTATGTAGTTCTTTCTTGGAAACTGTCCGTAAACCATTAGGAAAATACAGACCCTGTTAAACACCCTGCACATCAAAACTCCTGTGAGGATTATCTTCTCAACTCTATATGAGCTTCAAAAGAAGATCAGGAAGAAGATTGATTATTTCTATAAAGATATTTTTAATGTGTGTTGGCGCGGTCCCTGGGTTGGGGGACAGATAGGGAGATTAACAGCATGCTGCAAAACAGCCCTTGTTTACGTTTTCGCCCTGCAAAGATCACAGTGAGTGATTCATTTCGCTGTCAAAAGACAGCAGTAGGGAATTTTTCAGAAAACACCACATGTACAGGACAAGATCAACAAAGAGATAACCGTACTGCTTTGTCAACACAAACCGAAAGATCGTCACAGGAGTTTCAGCTCACATCAGCTCCTTTTAAAGACATTATATGAGACTAATAGGCCTGTCAAGTACAGTGTTACAGGTAAATGTGAAATATTTAATAGATTAATGTGATCGTGACGGCTTGCAGTGACGAGTATGTGTTTTCAGGACAGTATACCTGATTCTGAACATCATGGCTGTCATCCTGTCTGACTCCTGACTGGGATGTGGGTGCAGACATTGTGGGCACATCAGGACCAGCACTGAAAGGTACAAACACTGTTGAGCAGCATCACTTTGGTTACAGGACAAAAAACGTACTAAAGCTCGATAAAGTCATAACTCACTGTGATGAAGAAATACGGGCCTGAGCTGTGAAAGAAATGTGGCGACATGAGCATTCAACGTATAAATGTAGTTAATAGATTTCTCTCTCACACACAGGCACACACCTTGCTCGTTGTTAAAGGTTTTGTAAGTAAAGCCTGCTCCCACGATCAGCGTCAGTAGAAGAAAGCAGCAGAACGCCACGGTAATGACCTCCAGGGGGGTCATGAAAACCTCTTTGGAGGAGAAGAAACAGCGATATATTTTATTATGTAGAGCCAGCAAGTACGCCATGTAGACACAGAATATTTGACTCAGTGTAGAGTGTGTGGAGTTACAGGTCCTGTCTTTTAAAAAGTAAAAAGTATGATGATGTTAAGAGCGAAGTGATTCAACACTAAAGGAAATTTAAAGAGGCCCATTTTGACGAGTAAACAAGTAGCAAAAAGACTACTTGTGTCACATATTTATTGATATAGCCCTTCACACTGTCGGACTTACAATGAACTTACTAGTAATGTTTTGGTAGGAAAGCATTGCCAATAAATGTACGTTTGCAAGTTAAACAGTTAAAAGTAGATATGATAAGTGGTGATAGAAAGGGTAAATAATAAAATGAATCTGTGTCAGTGCTCACATACATCATGCCACCCTCTTTATAAGTCAGTGCACCAACTGGGTCACCCCAGTGAAAAAAGTCTGGACAGGCCCCTGCTGGCCTGCCTCAATGCATCAACAAGAGTCTAGTACACCGCTGAACCTGGCCAAGACACAATGTGGACACAATACTCTGTTCAAAGACAACATTTTCCACTTTGGTATCACACAGATTGCAACAAACTTAATACAATATGTTGTTTAGTGAGCTGTTGCTGGAAGGTAGATTGTAGACAGAGACTAGATATTACCCTCTCCTTATACTAGAGTGCGCTACTGCCAACAGTAGCCAAATATCCAATACGAATATATCAAAAAAAGTTAAACTTCTTCTGTTTGGCACACTCTTACTCCACACCTAGTCTTGAATTTTTCACCTGAGACTCGAACCAGGACAGCGGCACTCTCCACCCAGGGCCCGGAGTCATCGTAGCTGTTCCTCACCCTGCAGCGATAATACCCAGACTCCTCTGGGCCAAGCTTGGCCAGAATAAGAGTTTGACTCTTGCTGGCTAGGACATAGTGAGACAAGATAGGTTGAGTCTGAGTGCCCTCATGTGAGAGAAGGACAGTGTCGTTGAAGAGCCAGGAGATGTGAGGAAAAGTTCCTCTGCTGATTTCACAGTTCAGTGTTGCTGCGGTGGCCAGCTGAGAGTCAAATCTGTAGAGATATTCAACTTCCACTCTGACTTCACCTCCGACTGGGACTGGAAAGGAGGAGATGAAGATGAATAGAAAGCAAAGCTAAAAGTAAGGATCACTATCAGACACATGTATGTGTATATGTTTTCATGCATCTGTGTATCTCATACCCACTTCCAGAGTCACAGGCTCACTCATCAGCTCCTGCACATCAGTTTTCACCTGACAACGAGCCACGCCCATGTCCATCCCCGGTACCAGCGCGACAGGGAACCAGGCAAAAAGAGACTCAGTTGCTGTCACAGACCCTTCCTCCCTGTCATCTAGTAGAAGAGTGAAGTTCACCGGACGACTCCCTCTTGTTGACCAGCAGGTCACGTTGCCACGGTAACTGTCTCCCTCCTTGAAGATGGAGAAAGAGATCCTTGGTTTTGAAACGTAGACTGGTGGAGGAATAAAGAAGGGAAAGGAATGGAAAAAGAGAATGCTGAAAAAAAATCACCCAACAGCTTAGCATGAGTTTGTAAACCAGCAGTGTGTGTCCAAAAGTATGTTGACATTGATGAATATTCTTGTTTGTACAGAAGAGAATTAGGGCCGCTGAATTTTTATTTTCACAGATCTGACTCTTTTTAAATTTCTGAGTTTAAAGCAACAATATTTAATAATAAATGTTGTTTATAAAGAGCTTGTCAGGATCTCATAGACACTGTATATTAGTTCAAATTTAAAACACGTAGACTAGTTGAGGTATGTTTGTGATGTTCTAAACTTCTTAAATTGTTTTTAAAGGTTTATTTTTGGGCTCACTAACCACTAGGCTACAGGCGCCCCAGGTTCCAAACTTATAAACGTGTTTTGATCAACTCTTAATATCATAAAGGAAAGAGGCAACTCTGTGGTACGATGGATTAATTCATTTGTTTGTATGCAAACCAGAGACAGAACTCGGGTTAGATGAGTTTCTGCAACCGGAAAAGCTGCTAAACACGAGACAACGATGTCAAACGATAACATTTGTTGTGAATAATATGTGCAAGGATGTACACTTTACGTCCTACTCAGTCATCCTCTCTTCTTCTCTTCTAAGATTCACAGGATAACTAGCAGGAATTAGCATATTAGTCAGAATTCAGATTTGAAAAGTAACCCATTCTCCCTAATCCTCTGCTGTATATCTGAGACAGATTTTTCTATTCAGACTCGTACCTTTGACCGTCAGCAGCACCTCTGAACTGCTGGAAAACCTCTTCTTGTCATGTACTTGGGACCATGCCATGCAGTAATAGTTCCCAGCATGCTCTAGGGTCACATTCTCCAGCACTAGCTCGTTCCCAGCAAGGTGTGTGAAGGGAGAGTCTGAATGTGTTAACTCTGTCCTGTTGAAAAACCAGGTGTAGTGCAGGTGGGAGCCCTTTGTGACGTTGCAGCTCAGAACAACATATGACCCCTCGTATGCGACGGGGGGGAAGGGTTTAGAAATGACTCTGGTATTTGATGCTGGAGCTGTAAGTGAGGAAATGATGGAGGAAAGGAGAGTAGAGGAAGAGATTATGTGATGGTAGGGTTTTCACCTATAAAAAAAATGTTCAAACTCTTAAAAGCTGTGTCAGTAAGTTTTACTCACTGACTACACTAAGCTGGATGCTTTTGCTGACTCCTGTCCTCCCGCCTGCTGTCGCCCTACAGTGATATGACCCCTCTGACGCTGCAGTGACCTTTAGGGAAAATGATGCAGTAGTGTCACCTTGATCATCTATGCCTGTGGAGATCAGGACACCACCGTCGCTCAACAGCTCGTAGGTGACTGGGGGAAGGGAATCCGATGCTATACACTGGAAAGTCACCTTCGAGCCATGATACGCCAATTCAGGACCAGTCAGCACTGGATGAAGAGAGGCTGATCCCCCTGAAGAAAGACATGAAACACAGAGTTTACCAGAAAACTTTTTTTTTAATTAGCAAAAAACACAAATGAAATTAATTTATGCAATGCAGTCATATCAAAGAATAACAAGCTCCTACATAAACAGCTTTCTTTTTAGAAAATATCAGAAGAGATCTGAATCAGCGAGGACAAACAAAAAATATCTCTGCAAACTGAACTAAGCCAAACAAGAACTTACTTATCTTGACGACCAAACTCGCCAGAGCTAAACAAAACAAAACACAACAAAAATAAGAACTTTTTTTTATGTTGAATGGTTCATTCATGTTGCCATTTTAAATCAAATATGACAAACTCACCCAATATTGGCAGCAAATAAGAGTGTAGATTCTTCATAGCAGTGCTGTGCATTTTTCTTTGACATGGTTTGGCGTGTGCTTGCATGTGTGGATTTAGTGTGTGCTTAAAAGCTATGGGTGTCAACACATGTTGCAAGTAGATAACATGTTAGGCTGCATGTTTGGTTTTAATTTTGACGACCAATGAGATGTTGGACACAGACAAGCTTAAAATGCACAAACTATCAAATGTTTAATGAGCAGGATATTTATAACAAAAAAACATAGAGAAAGTATATTAAAGCATTTGCATGAATTATGCATTCACTTATAAACATTTAAAGGTTTAAACACTGGCTTTAAAATAAGCTTAAAGCTCCTGTAAATAGTTTTTAGCTGGTTGTGAAACAGGCAGATATTAATACTGTTGCCTCTTCATGAAGTTCAAAAGCAAACAAGACCATAATAGATAAGACTGACTATTTCTGAAGAGTTATTTTTAATGCCTGAAACTTCTGCTAGGGTTAGGTGTCGGCCAAGGTGATTAACATCATGCTGCCTCTCCCTCATTTTTTTTTTCACTGATATGATACATTTGACTGCCTAAAAAAAGCAGGAAGCAACATTTTGTAAAAAACAACAACAAAAAAAAACACTATTAAAGATGTACAGTTCAAAATCACTAAAGGCATAAAATGTGCTGCTTTGTCCACAAAATCAACACAAACCACAAGTTCCCACAGAAGCTTTAACAAACTCAAGGCTAAACTCTCCCCCCCCCTCCCCCACATACACACAACTTTTCAATATGACAGAAAATTGACAAATTGGACAAAAAATATGAACTTTAAAACATTTCACAGCATTGCCTTTTTCATCTCTGTATGTCATGTAACTGAAATGTGAGAGTTCATCAACCTAATACGTTTTTTAATCGAGCCCCTGCAGTCTTTCACTCAGCTGCTGTCCGACTAAAAAGCCTTTATATTTCTAATGAAAGTCTCTGGATGTAAAGATGGAGAGGCCACACAGAGTGGACTCTGTATTCACTCTGTAGGAGATGAGGGAGGGTCCTCTTGGATGTCGACAGAGAGGACCCTGTAGTTGTTTCTTTTACCTCTGAGTATGGTGGCATGCTGTTTGACCAGGAAGCGTTTATCTGAGCTGCTCTGTGAGGAAAACACACACACACACATATATTTACACACACGACCTGCATACAGATTCTCAAGCAGAGCAGAACACACTAATACACCAAAGTAATAATGATTCAAAGGAACCAATCAAATCAACGAGCAGTATTTCCTTATCGTCTTCCTGCGACTGATTTGTAAGTATGTACAATGTTTGACGACATGTGACTCACCATAACCAGCATGTCCTTCAGCCTCTCGATGGCCTTCTGATTGGCTCGTCTCCGTGACACGAATGAGGTTAAGATTATACTGTGGAAATACATTTGATTCATGTTACATTCAAAGACCAACAAATCACATGAAAGTACAGCTCATGTTCATCAATGATTATTTCTATTCACCAACGTGTACACATGCAGCTCCTTTTTCGTCGCACCAAAAGGTTGAAACAGTTTAAAAGTAGCTTACAAAATGAAAAGCACAACAACACTTTGATACAGAGTTAGCCTTTTAGTAAACCTGCTGCTGCTTAGGATACTTACACCTCAGCGAGTATGAGCGGCAGGGCGAAGGCCTCAGAGGCCAGGTAGCGGAGAGTACTCTGTGCCAGACTGGGGAGGCTGTCCACACAATCTCCTGCCACAATAAGGACAGTCTTATCATTCCCAAATGGACCACAGGAAGACCTGACGGAGACCAGGAAGGACAAATAGGAGAAACTGGCATTACAGAAAAGCTATTAAGTTTCTATGACACTAACACATGCGTATGGTTAGACACGGTAAGTAAGTAGGCTTTCAATAAATAATGGTAAAATTGCAGTTAAAGTCGACGTACAAATTCTTGTCAGGTGTAAGTTCTTGCTGGTGGAGGTTGAGTCCCAGTGTGACTGCGGCCATGAGGAGACCGAGCAGCAACATGAAGTGGAATAAAACGGAGGAGCTGGAACCACGAAACATCCTCTGCTCGGCCACACAGCACTGCAGGACTGTGAACTGTGGACAGCGTCAGAAAGAGAGAGAGAGAGAGAGAGAGACCATGAATACAACTGTGGTCACTAGTACTTCTCCATATCTCACTACAGAACCATGGAATGGGTCAAAGAGAGAAAGAAAATATAGAATATGGAGAAAAAAAAGCATCATTCTGGTTTTTAACTGTGACACAGAATGGAGGATAATTTCAGGATTATAACTGGTTTGAATAAAATAAATAATAGTTATAATTGAATATCTTAAAGCTGAATACTATACTCTCAGTCTTAATGTCA